ACCTGCCAATGCCCCATGGAGTGGCATTGTTTCACTGCTGCATCTACTACTTATGCGAGTATACACATTAAGAAACATGGGGCACTTTGCTTGCCTCCAACGGGTGGGCGCTGTACCAATGGCCCACCAATGGTCCGGCATATCTGATTCTAATGCAACTGCTGAATCTGAACGCTGTTCATGGCGGACACCAGCGAAAATCATCATACAAAACTTGTGAGGTCAGGCGGAGGAGGTCGAAAGCTAGCCGAATCGCACCGGATGTACTATTTATATAGTCGGCAAAGCATGTAGTGTTTACATGTTTTGGGAGAAAGGTTGCTATGTACATACTTTGCGCTAAAGAATGTAAATGTGACATCGCCGACTGGGAAGGGTACATTGGAACAACCCGCGTGCACTCGTTGGCAGGCACGAAGATGCGTGATCGGCAAATCTGGGGGGTAAATTTACCCCCCGCTTATGTGAGGGGTAAACATTTCTGGCATCACAAGGACTGTACATACACTAGGGCGCCCGTAGTGTAGGATAAGCAGTGGTAAAAGGTATATACAAGGAATAGAGTGTCTTGAGGAAGTAGCCGGTGTATGGTTATAGTAAATCTAATTTACCGCCCGGTTATGCATGCATTGGGGTAGAAATAGGGGTAAACAACTTGCAACAGTGAAGTACAAGTCCTATGCTCAAAGCGCAACCTTGTATATAACAGTGAAGTACTATGCTCTAAGCCCTGCATCTTGCAAGCACATCCATGCCAAGGCCAAGATTAACTAAACAGCGAAAACAAAAGAACCCCTGTATGCCTGCAGCTGGGAGTTGAACCGCGGGGGGGGGGTGGTTAGCGTGATATATTAAGCTTTATCAAGCTTTAAGGCACGCAGCTCATCCCACTACCAATTGCTAAAGCAAAGAAGAACTCAGCGCACTGCGGTCGTTGAGGTCAAAGCCTACCATGAAGTGGGATCAAGTGGGTATGGACATAATATACTTAAAGTAAGGTGCACTTTACCTGCGCCTATGGAGGTGGACGAAAGGTATAGAGCTTAGATAGAGCTTGGCTGCTTAGGAGCAGCAGCAGCAGCAGAAGCAGCAGCAGCAGCAGAAGCAGCAGCCCAGCAGCAGCAGCAGCAAGCAGCAGCCAGCAGCAGCCGCCTGCAGCCAGCAGCCAGCAGCAACCACCACCCAGCAGCCAGCCAGCAGCACCACGCAGCAGCAGCGCAGCAGCAAGCAGCAAGCAGCAAGCAGCAAGCAGCAGCAGCAGCAGCAGCAAGCAGCAAGCAGCAGCATCAGCAGCAACGGCGTCGTCAGCAACAGCAGCAGCACCAAGCCGCAACAAGTAGCAAAGCAGCAGCAACAAAAGTGGCAACCAGCGGCAGCAGCAAGCAGCAGAGCGGCAGCAGCAGCACCGTTTACACCAAGCCACCGTTTACACCCAACCAACCACGTTCAACCAACCAACCAACCCCCGCAGCTGGGAGTCGAACCGATACGTACGTGCTTGTTATTGAATGTTTGTGATATCCATGTCAAACAAAAGTCACCATTTGTTCTCAAACAAACATTGTATTCGTTGACCCTGGAGAGGATACCGTCAAACACCACAAACAAAGGCTGCCAGCAAGAACCGGGCACCGCAGTGTTGCCTACATCTGCTTGGTTGCAGGTGTTTGTTTGGCTTTGGCCCCATCCCACTGACACGGCTGCAATCACACAGCAACCTTCGATATCTCGATGCGCTTCAAAAAGCAAGTATCCTGAGCAAACACAAGGGCGAGTTGAGTTTGGACACCAATATCCTTCCAACCCTATTGGGCCTTCATTGAGCCCATGTAGTGTAGCCCGTACAACCAGCAACGTGAAAACACAAGATTGCAATGCGATAAATGTTCTGAGTCTCTGCAGGCAGTTCCTCAGGTAGTTCCACAAAGGAACCCACCTACATCAGCAGCTCTATGAGCCATCTAAAGAAGTGTCATAGTCATCATAGTCTTACAGTCGCTTCATGCCCCTTCCCGACTTGCCAGCTAAACCAAAGGCATCCACATGCAAAAAGATCTACCTTCGCTAAACCAGCAGCTCTCGTTGGGTCTGACCTCTCCCAGAAGCTCCTCGTTTTTCGAAGCGGGTCTGGACGCCGAGCATCGCACTGAGCCCAAGGTCTTGGCCGCGCCCCTCAACACTGCAGGGTCTGCACCTTCCGTGTCGATGATGAGGATGTCCACCTCTGAGACTGCAGCAACACAAGCTGACTGGTGCTTAGCAGGGAACAAGAGAATGAGCCCCCAATAGAATCTCTATTGGGGGCTCATTCCCTTATTCCCTGCTAAGCAGCAGTCAGCAAGACCAGACTGAGCTCAATCGAAAAACAAACACGATCTCAATCGATAGAATTTTCTTACATCCTTTCCTACTCTTCAATGCTGAACTGCACCCACGCGACCTAAGGCAATTTGGTGGAGCTTCGATACTACCTACCAGAATCACACCAATTGTGCTTCTCACAAGCGGCATGCTGCATTTAAGTGCGCATGTTTCTCGTTCCCAAATGGCACAAAGCCACACAAGGGCACTTTCCACCGATGCCTCGCCAAAACCAAATTCCTCGTGTGAAATAGTCTGATGGACACTCCAGAAGCGAACAGTATCAACATTTTAGTAGTTGTGTGTCTGTCGAAGGAAAGCTCTTCGATTTGGAGGATGCTTCAATTCATGATACGAGTTTAAAAGAAGATAAAGAAGGACCATTTTGGAATTGGTCCTAGGACACTTGTCCGCTTCGAAGCTCTTCCCAGGTTCCCAAACTTTGGGAGTCCCCCCTATTGAAAAAAGAATCGACCGCAGATGTGCTAATATGTTCTTAGTAGGGGCGTCCCGTGTGCTTTTTCAATGTGAGTTTCTGAGATGCTCTGGCGGCCCCACTCACATTATCGCGTTTGATCTATTTTAGCACCATTCGCAAGCCCTATGTGCAGTTATGGTTGGGAGGTAATATAGCATAAACATATTACGTTACATCTATACTATTGAGTATATATAGTATTGTAGAGGGAGATTCCCCAGATTCCATAGAAGGGATTTGTACCGCCATACCCTGTATTCCGAGATTTTGAGTGCTCAGTGCTCGCACCATCAGTAAAACACCTGAACCTTCACCTAGCAGCCCTAGCAAAAGCTGACCCTGTGAGCTGTAAACTACCACAACCTCGTCGACTCGTCGATGACAAATTGACTGAATTGGTCAGGGATCAACAGAAAAATGAAACCAATTCCCCGTGGGCGTTTGGACACGTGACTCCTCTCAGCATCAGGCACCTTTGATAGCTTCAGGTCACGCACCAAAGCATCCACGGTGGTCAAGGGCACTTGGACCGTGTTGCCTTTCACTTTCCTCAGACTCCCGAGAATGGCCCCGGGCCATGGGCGCGGCCTAAAAAAAGGGAAGGCGGCAGCCCTACAAGCCCAGAGAATGGCCAATCGACTGACCAGCTCGGTCTGAAAAATTGGAATGCTGCTTTATGCTTTATGTCATTCCCTTCTTTCAAGTGGCCAAGGACGTCCCGCAAGATTATGGGATGATGGACGTCCTTGCTGATCATTTCATCAGCAACAGTGGCCCTTTGCTACCAAACGTTTATCCCAAGTTGATTCTTGTCACAGCATCACCAGATTTCAAGGCGCCTCATGTTGGGGAACAAAATTATGCCCCTTACTCCTTGATGCAAGGCATCTGCATCTTTGCATGGCAGAACAAGTCGAGGGGGGATGGTGCAACTACATGTTTTGAGTCTTGAGTAACCAGTAACCACCTGAGAACCGGTTCCCGGCATACCTTGGGCCGAAGGCGCGCGCCATCGAGCACCATTCGTCCACTCTCCTTCCCAGCATTGCCATTCGGGAATTCCACGGTGGCACCGGGCGCCGCAGAATCGGATGCCGCGCCGTGAATGATTTGGAACTGCCCGTAGGCCGTGGACTCATACCCTGCCTTCTTCCGCATCTCCTCACGGCACCGCCCGGAGTCATCTCTGATTGTTTTTGGGTATGGGCCTGGGCATGCTTGCTGGCTACACTTAGCTTAAGATAGCTCAAGGGGGGTTTCGATGCACAGCGCATCTGGGTTGAAGAGATATCGATAGTCCGGATAGTCAAAGTTAAGAAGTGTCTTTTGGGGACTTGTGATATTTGGATTCTTCTTCCTGCTCCTGCATCTCGTGGTGAGTTGTAGGAACAAAGATTGGGTGGGCAATCAAATGTCATGGAGTGGGTATATAGCGGTCCGGTGCCTTTTGTGGGAAACCGCATGCTATCACATGCTCACTGGTGGCTACTCAGGGCTACTCTTGCCTGATTCTTGCAAAAAGGCCCATCGAAATCATCTCCAAGTCCAGTCTGACCCAGGTTTTTACCTGGTCTTGAAAACCTGCTGTTTGTAGTTGTTTTGTATGACCAGCTGCAGAAAACTGCAGGTCAGTTCCCGACCTGTAGGGATTCACCGCCACACGTTGAAAGCCAGGACCCCCACCGACCCCCTGCCTGTCATAGGTTAGAAGTTCGTAGATCCCCACCGAAAAGGTATTGGACACCTTTTTTTCCGGGACCACTAGATATACAAAAAAAGTAAATATACTATGCTAGTAATAATAGTAACAATATTATCATATATATTACTTATTACTAATATTACTATTACATATATATATATATATATCCATCATGGCTTCCAAACATCACACATGAAGCAACACGAACAAATCTTACTGCTAGGGGCCTCTTTTTAGATGTTCCTCCTGAATCCTAAACATAGCAAAAAAGGAATGGCGAACAGCGTCACGGACGAGCTGCGATCCTCCAGAAAACTGGATTTGCTCAACGTGTTCCCTCCTTGAACTGCCTTGCAAAGGAAATCCGTTCCAAACACGTCCGGGTTATTCAATCACGAACGGTTCAAAGCCGAGCATCCAAAAAGGTGATCTGCTGTTCTTGCAGAACTGACTGTGTCCCTATGTGTCCCTCCTCAGTCGCTTCTCTCGGTCCTTCAAGAGCTCAACGTTCACTGGCATGGCCTCCACGCAAATGGCTGTAGGTGTCGCCTTCGAATTCACCTTCGGCGCCTTCTGCAAATGCCTCGGACGCCACAAAAGGGAACGCGGGGAACGCCGAAAGCCCATAGGGAGCGAGAAGTGCTGACGGAGTATGCAAGCTGGACTCCAGGTGGACAACAAGGTCCAAAGCTCCACTTGCTGGGCTGGCACTGTCAAAGGACTTGCATTTGGTCATGTCATGCCACTCATGACAAAGCAAACATACCAAAAAACATCCAAAGATCCAAAAACAACGAAAGCCGCTCACTGTGTGTCATAACTCCTCACCTCAGTACCTCAGTCAGGCAACTCTTTCTCTGACACTCCTTGAGATTTCACGGAAGTGGAGCAAAAAGTCATCGTTTGGAAGCAAAAAGGTTGAGAAAGCACGACGGGGCGTGTCGCGCTTCAGCGATTTTCCACCGAGGCGAAAGCAGCAGTAGCTATTGGCTTAGGCGCCTCCAGCCCAAACAACCACAATGCGAACGGGTCCGGATCAACTGCGCTCATGCAAACATGTTTCTTCAGCTCCTAGGATTTCTTTCTTGATCCGAGACCTGAACACTGTGATCAGACAGCCGGCAGGTCGCTCTAAAAGGTCTTGCTTCTTGGGAAGCTGGCTCAACTCGACATTCTCTTCCAACAACCTCCAGACAGATCGGCCATCGGCCAAGTCAAACCTGCCATAGGTCGTCCGGAGAGGGAACCGCCATGCTCCATATCGAGCATCCGGGATGCGGAATGATTTGGCTTCAAAAGCTACATGCACTACGAACCCTTCCCGTTGGTGCCATCCAGGACTTCTGCAGAGGTTCTGCAGGAAAGGAAAAATGGCCGTTTTGGCCTCGACAGCAACTCCAGGAACTATCCCACTCACAGCGCCGCTGACCTTCTTCTTCTTGGGCTGTTTCACGTAGGTCGGGTTGTAGACATAGCTCCATTTTCCGCAAGCAAGGATGCGGTGCATGTGGTCCAAAGGCATGAGTTTCGTGCCAGCGTCCACCCACATGTTGGCCGTAGCCGTCCACTTCAATGAAGTGTTCTTCCCATTGAGGATGCTCCTGACCCAAGCAACTGAAAATGCTAAGGACTTCTGGGCACCGTAGGTGTTGGTGTCCGAGTTTCCCCGGTCGTAGGTGTCCTTTGCATCGGTGATGCTGACCATGGGGATTTCCTCCATCACCTTGTGAGCATCGCGGCGGTGCATGGGAAGGCCGCTGAAGACACCAAAGCATCCTCTGCAAAAGACGCCACTGTCCATGGCTTCTTCCACACCCATGAGCTCTGCCCCATAGGTAGAGCGGCAAACTCTTGGAAGGCGGTGGCTTCTTGCGTCCACCACTGCGAACGTTCCCTCTCTGCCATTCAGCAAGTCGTGGTCGGCAAGCACGATGAAGTACGAAGATTGGCTGTAGAGGCGTTCATGGGCTTCTCCATCTGTTCCTCCTTCTTTGGTGGTGTTCCCCAACGAAGCGTCGGAGATGGCCATGATCCCGGCACGGGAAAGGTCCATGCCATTGAACACCAGGGTGAACGCAGACTTTGCCTGGAACTCCTTGAGCAAGTTGTTAGCACGAAGGAGGGTTGACACCGTTGGTTTCTCACCTTGCAGTGAGCTCAAACTGAAGCCCTGGTCAAACCTCAACTGGGCCACCAACCACTGCAGGGAACCGAGGACTGCTCGAAGCTGTCGACGTTCGCTCTCCGTTAGGGTGTCGGAGGCTTGAGCCTTGCGGGCCATGCTCACCGGGATCGGCTTGAGGTTCTTGTGATACTCGGTCATGCTGAGCTCGACCTTGCCAGAGGGCAGCATACGGATTCTTTTGCCACAAAACACGAAATCATCCACCTCCACGCTTCCGAAACCGAGCTCATTGCCGATCTCCATCAGGCTCGCTTGTGCACGAGCATTGCCTCCAAGCAACAAATCATCCACGTGGGACAGCACGATGCCTTCGAGCACACTGTGGTCAGGTGACCACAAAAGCCAGCAAGCGTAGTCACACACGCTTCTCTCCCATCCAGCCCCCAGGAAGGACTTGTTCAGGCGCAAGTACCATTGTCGAGGAGCATCGCTGAGCCCGAAGACTCCTTTGCGAATCCTTGCCAAACGATCACCGAAGGGCAACTTTGGCTCAGCTCCTTTGACGTTCTCCAGGAACAACTCCCTGGTGCCTTCCATGTATGCATCGCCTTTGAGGAAGGCGCTTTTGACGTCTGCACTCATCAAACGCCAGTTCTTCTTCTCATCGTCGAACTTCTTGGCATTGGCGGCAGTGTGAATGAAGATCATATGTTGGCTGATCCTCGATCCAGTGGGAGCGTCTTTTCTGAGGGCAAAGGAAAACACGTCTTTATAGCCAGGGACAATGACCCGAGCTCGAGCTTTGAGAGGTAGGGGATTCTCCTTCGTCCTCAGGCTCTCATGACGATCGGTAAAGACATACCGAGGCGTCAACACACGGCCGTCTTCTCGATTGGCCGCAACACGTTTTCGCACCATGGCTGACTCCTCTTCGCTGAGGATCTCGATGGCGTCGTTCTCCTCCCATACGGACCAAGCTTCTTTGGCCGCTTTGGTGAAGGCCTCCTTCTCCTCAGCTGACATTTGCTTCCAATGGAACTCCTTCCTGGTAGCTTGAGCGGCTTGTACTTCATGATCTGAAGGTGCGCCAGTGGGCCATGACATTCCCAGGCGTTGAAAGGTTTGCCACTCACTTCTCGATGGAAGGCCCCATCGACCGCTCCATGTGCCGTGGTCCTTGACCTCCGACTCCAAAGGATCCAGCTGGTCCAAGCATGCACCATAGAAAGCTTGCGACAAAGGGTGCAAGTTGGGTTGCTGAAGCAAATGCAGAAGTTGTTCACGACTCAACTTTGGTTCTTCACCAGGAAGTCGGTCAGCTTGAAGTGCTTCGGAAGAGCTGCCTGGTACAGTGCCAAAGTCAACATCTTCTCGGCGCAGCTGCTCGGCATCAGTCTCAGCTGCACGCTTGGTTCCACCTCCATCACTGGCGTCAGCCGGTAGGGCTCGTTCAGGTGCTCCGGCAGGAACTGGTTCGCTCACCCTTCTCTCATGCGCTCGTCTCACGGTCTCTGGGAAAGGAGAGACACTTTCGAACCCACTCATCCGTCGTGACGGAATGGTCGATCCCACCCGCGAAGGAATAGCCGGAGTAGAAGGAATCATGATGGGCAACAGCTCCTTCGCTTGTACAGGAGGTAGGTCATCACCATGTAGTGCTTGAGCTCCATCTCCAATCATCGTTGCCGAAGAGGATGGTAGAAAACCCGGTGTTGCAGGGTTCGGAACTTCATCATCTTCATCCATGTTCTCCTCGGGCACGGCAGACAACACAGGAGCTTCGCCAGACTTTGGAGCTGCAAGTTCAAGACGTGCCGTTTCCACGGCCTCCTCAATGGCTTCCCGCCAGGTGCCTGCAGCAATTTGTTCCATAGTGCTCGCCTTTCTCACATGCTCGAGAGCGCACTTGGTCAATTGACCTTTGTGGGACAGGAAGGCGTTGGAGTTGCCTTCACGAGCCACCATCAGAGCAGGCCCATGCCACCGCTTCAAACTCAATCTCTTTCGACTTGCAGAGTCTTTGCGGTCGAAGCGCAAAGGCCGATAGAAGTAGCAGATGCTCCCAGGCTCTGGTAGGTCTTGAACTGTGGGATTGCGAGAACGTGCAAGCTCTGCCTTTCTCAATCTCCGGGAGAAATGCAATCTGGTCATCGCAACTTTTGCCACTTCACGAAGAGCTAGCTGTCGGGCCAAGGAAGGTTTGGAGTCAATCAGCCCATGTTCAGCCAGTCGTTGCTGCACTCCACCCAGGACATCACCCACCATCCGAGGTTGGCGTCCGAGAGCGGCTTGATAAGGCGAAGTTCCACTCTCTCCATCAATGTCGCCGTTGTAGGCAGCGACGGCTTCAGCTAAGGCCAAGTCCATCTCCTCAGGGGTGACAACCGCCTTGGACGTTACAATCGCCGCCAGGATGGTCTTAATGATACCTCCACTTTTCTCTGCCACCCCGTTTTGCCATGGGGCTTGCACTGCAATGTGGTACAGGAAGGTGGAGATCGAGGAGCACCACTCTTCAAACTGCCAAGACACGAATTCACGGCCTTGGTCACAAACAAGAACTCGTGGAGCTCCGAAGGTCGGCAGCCATTTGGTCTGCATGAAGCGAATCACTTCTCCCGTGGACTTATCCTTCAAAATCTCGGCTGCTTGAAACCGAGTGGCATAGTCAGTGCAGTGGGCCACGAAGTATTTTCTCTCACGGCCGTCCTCAACTTCCAAAAGGTCCAGGTGAACTTGGTCTCCAAGATCTCTGGGTGCAGGCAAGGAAGCAGGACGCTGCACTTTTGGTGGTTTGCGCTCTTGACAAACCGCGCACTGATGGCGCTTCGCCGCCACCACCGCCTCAGCTGGGGCTCCAGCCAAAGTCAAAGCTCTCGCCAGCCTCACATTGCTTCTATGGCCGGTGTTCTCATGAAGGCGTTTGATGGCCGCCTTCACTGAGCCAAAAAAAAAAGCTTCTTCTCCTCAACCGTCTCCTCCATCTCAGGGTCGGAGTCATCTTGAAGTTGTCCTCCTCCAGCGTCCGCTCCGTTCTCAGGATCCTCCTCAGCATTCGCAGCAAGGACCTCGCGGGGCTTGTAGTCCTTCTCGAACTGGGCCTCCAGTCCACGAACCATCGCCCGAGCTAAAGGCAAAGGGTACACCCCCGCTGGAGATGTGATCTTCGCCCCACCAATCACCGCCATGTGCTCATGGTCACGCTTGCAACGAACATCATGCAGCAAACTGGTAACGCTCGGTGAAGAACTAACCACCTGCGTAGCTTTCTTGTGCAACTGCCCAGTCGGGCCCTTCAAACCAAATCGGCACTGGTCAAAGATCGCCTCATAGACGTCCTCCTCGATGAAGCGCCTCATCTCAGGCTCCTTCCAAGCAAGTGAAGGTCGAGGATTCTCTAAAATGCAATGTCTCCCTTCTCGCAACTGTTGCCTGGCCACTTGGAGCGCAAAGTTCATGAGGATGCGCCCGGAAGACATTCTTGAAGGCCAGGTCATTCGGCTTTTGCTGTTCAGGTACTGCAAGGGGCTGAAAGATCCACAAGGAAAAGCTAGCACCACACAGTACGGTTTCTCCTTCTGAAGTCGCCGAAGAGCTTCTTCTCGATCACGACGGCGAAGAAAGTTCCATCCATTCTCCAGGCTCATTGCTGAACCCACCACATGGCCCCTCCTCATAGCTTCTTTCATGACATTTCGGGAGTTCGTGAAGACTTCAGCAACAAAGGGCCTTGTAGGGTCCGAGTTGTGCTCATTCGCAAGGGCCTCATGGATGTTTTTGGACAGGTCAATCACTTGGACAAAGGGTTCTTCATTCAAATGGGCATTCATCTCCTCGAAGTACTCAACCTCGAGAGCATGCCGAACTTGCCGGGCACTTCGAGAGACCTTCACACGATCCGAAACATGCTGGTTCCAAGCTTGAGCAATCAGATCAGCTTGCCCACGCTTCAGCTCTTGGTGGATCAAGAAGGGGTTCAGCGATCCAGCACTGCCTCTCTCTCCTCTTGGCTCAGGAAGGGAATCCTCCCCTCTCCATACTGGGCGGCCAGTCTGGCCTCGAAGTCCTGCTCCAGGCTCATGGCCACTTCTGCACGGAAGTCCGGGTCGATCTTGTAGAGCTCCTCCATGTCCGGCCCCGCCTGATAACCATCCGGCCCCACCTGGCACCCCATCTCGGTGTCGGCGATGAGACTGGGTTCTGTCATCTGCTCCCAGCGGGCGTTTCGGAGTTCTTGCATCTCCAATGCCATGCGGTCCAAGGCTGCCTGGAAGTTCTTTTGCATCGCCTGAACTTGAGGCCAAGGCACATTCTCTGGTGGACGACTTCCCGAAGCCTCGCTCTTCAAGTTCTTGTAGAGGGTGGACTCCACGATGAATGGAGCCAGAGTAGGCTTCTTGGCGTCTCCCTTGGCCTTGGCTTTTGCGGAAGGTTTGGAGCCTTCCTTCAACAATGCAACGGTCGGCTTGACCTTCTCCTTGATCTGCTCCACAGTGTCGGACGCTTGGATTGGGACGTTCAGCAATGCCGCCAGCTTCACAAGATCTTTTCGGAGAGTTGGTAGTCCACCTCGAGGTCCAATGAGCTCCCTCGCCTGTTGTTCCAACTCGCCAGCTGCGGCTGCTTCCTGGGCTTTGGTTTGAGCTTCCGCCAGAGCTGCGGACTTGACTTTCTGGCTCAAACCCTTGGCGGCCTTGGCCAACTTGAAGCCCTGAAGAACTGGATCTTCGCAAAATGAAGCGTCCAAACCAATGCGGTTCCGCCACTGGATGCATTCGCTCAGGTGGGCAAAGGTGAACTTGTCTGCCTCGTAGGCCTTCATCAAATGGCGCTTGCTGATCACCTTGTCCTTGGCTTGCTTCTGTCCTTGGTCGAACCAGGTGTCGGCCGTCGAGATTGCCGGGTAGGGCAAATGCAGATAGCGCAAATAGGACCTTGGCAAGCACCACAGCAGGACTCCTTTTGCTGCCCACATTGACCTTTCTCTCATGCGAAGGATCATCCTTCGCCAGCGCTGAGGGACTCGGATCACCAGGTCGTTTGGCATCATCATCAGCGCTCAAACTGGTAGTAGTCGAGGTCCGAGAAGAGGATGTAGTCCGGGAAGGCTTTCTCGCGGGTTGGCGAGGCATTGAGGCTTGAACCGCAGAGCCACGATCGGCCAAAACTGAACAAACAAGGTTCCCAAAGTGCAGGCTGCTTTCAGTGAGGAAGTGATCATGACCGTCAGGGTGCTGGGAAACAAAACGAGAGGTGCCATCAAAACGTGAATGCAACCAACGTGAAGTGCTCATCTGAATCTCAACGACACCATCGACTCCGAGTTTCCGCCAGCGCTGAGGGCCCAGGCCTGGCCATCGCTCCGGCAGCAAGCCGAGGAAGAAGTGGCCTGCCGAGAGCTGTCGTAGCCGGATTGGCTCAGCACCCAAAAGCTCACAGTGAAGCAGCTTCTTGCTAAAGTTCATCACTGCACCAACCGCTTCCAAAAAATCACGTCCAAGGAGCAGCCCCAACGAAGGAACATCTACAACTGAGGTCCAAAAACAAAGAACCACTCCCCCGACCATTGTGGGCAACCTCCACCTTTGAGAGCTTTTCTGGCAGCCACCATTACCAAACCTGAAGGTTTCGTTCTCATCCTCCACCAAAACCAACTCAAGTACAGCTTTGGGGGCACTTTCACGAAGACAGGTGAGGTAGCTGGAAAGCCATTCACAACCAGTGCAGGTGCGGTTGCAAGCACTGTCCAAAGCGCCAACCAGCCGCTTGTCTTTCGTGAGCCCTTGCACGAGGTTCACCTCTTTGGGCATGTGAGACTGGTTGAAGGCCGTCTCAAAGTCAGCCGTCAGCTTTTGAGGGCTGCACAAAACAGTCAAAACTTCATGGCTGCCGTCGGGGTCAATGTGCTCGGTGTTCATGGTCTCGGTCACCTTGACCTGCTTCACGGGCGGTTTGCCCTTCTTCCGACCGAGTTGCTGGCCGGGCTTTTGGCATTCCGGATCTCCTGCCCAGTGTCCAGGCAGTCCGCAGTCGAAACACGGATGTTTTTCCGACTGCTTCTTCAAACTCACCTTGCTTGCTCCAGGGCTGCCTCCTGAAGTTGAAGGCTTGCCATAACCTCTGTCCTTGCGGACTTCTTGAAGTTTGGTGCGAGCTTCTTTCATCGTCAAGAAGGCCTCAGCAGCGGCCTCCACAGACTCTTCAACTTCATTCAGCGTCTCGACATCGAGACCATCAGCTGCAGCCTCTTCAAGCTCTGTCGCCAGGATCTCAGCCTCGCTCTGCAAGACTTCCTCCAACTTGGAGGATCAGGGGCTTCCTCCACCGGCTCATCAGCCGTCTCCTCCGGCTGCTCATCCACCTCCGACACCATGGCCTGCTTGGCCCCCATAGGCTTGCGGTAGCTGGTGAACCTGCCAGAAGACGCTGTGGAAGAACCGCTTCGAAAAGACCTTGGTGCAGAACTGTTCATGGAGGGGGCATAAGAGGAAGCTCGACTTGGTGCTCCATGCTGCTGGCTCAAAAATCTTGACAAAAGGGGAGGTCTTTGGTCTTGGCCACCATCGCCACGACGTTGGAGGGGGTCTGCCGAGTGCAGGTCTTTGAAAAGTCGAAGAACCTCCCTCTCGATGGTGCCATAGTCTTCTGAGCCTCCCAGGGCCGTTTCCAAAAGCTGGGATCTCAAGGCATCTAAACCCAGCTTGTGTTTGAGCCACCAGCCCAACTCGTTGTCCGAGACGACCACGCCCTCGGACTTCATCTCTGAAACCAACGTCCTGAACCGGGTCGTGAACTCGGAGATCCTCTCGCCGCCCCGCCTTTTGAGCTCCAGGTAGAAGACATGTCGGAGCTCTCCTCTCTTGTCTAAGGCCGTCCGGCCTGTCATCTCCTCGAGGGCGTTCAGGAGCTTGTTGATGCCACTCAGGGGATCCTCAGGGATGATCACCTCTTCATCGCCAGTGGTGGCATTGGGCATCTTCACTTCCTGCTGGTAGGTCAGATCAGCAGGATCAAACTCCTCGCCCCTCTGGCGAACAACGCCAGATTGGCGAAGAAGCCACCGCGCCGCCAGGTTGTACTTCTTTGTTGACTGGATGTCGAGGCCAGCCAACCACCAGGACATCTCTCTCCTGAACGGGCGCCAAGTTTGGGGGCTCCCATCCCATGTTGGGACTCGGCTCCAAGCTCCTGCATTGGCATCCTTCTCGTCTGCCATCGGTGGACCTGCGAAGGTCGCCTTCCTCAGGAAGGCTCAGCAAAGGGTGAAAGGAAGCAAAAAAAACTCAAATTCAACTCCTCGGAACCGTCTCCAGTCCTCTCGCTCCCTCAAAGGCGCGTGCCAGTCGAAAGAGGCCCAAAGAACCAAAAAGCAACCAAGGAAGTCTGCACCCTCCCTGTCGGACAACGCTGTCAGGAGCTCTGCCGTGAGCACCCACCTCGAAGGCCGGGACGAAGGGCTCGTGCACCAAGGACCAAAGCAAGGTCGCGGCCGCCTAGCCGCAGGCAAAAGCAAAGGTCGCGGCCGCCAAGCCGCTAGCAAGAAAGGAGCGCGCAGCAGCGAATGGCTCGGGATCGAACCTAAAGGCTCCGGTGCCACTGAGAAAGCACGACGGGGCGTGTCGCGCTTCAGCGATTTTCCACCGAGGCGAAAACAGCAGTAGCTATTGGCTTAGGCGCCTCCAGCCCAAACAACCACAATGCGAACGGGTCCGGATCAACTGCGCTCATGCAAACATGTTTCTTCAAAGGTAGAGGACGTGCATGAACATGAGATTCAATATGATGATTGTGAATGTTACAGTACATGTTCCGATTCAACTCGTTTTTCAATTTTAATGGTTTAGGGATCTCCTATGCCTCCTATGCATCCTCTACTCCAGGATGACTATCAGGCTGACGCGCTCTTTCTATCACAACAACCAGCCACACTGAGCCGCTCGACCGTCCCAGCTGCGTATCGATTTTGCACACGGCTTTGAAGGCCGACAAGAGCTGCGTCCACTTGGCCAAACTCCAAAATCCATGTTGATCAAAGTGCTCTAGCCAGGACACTGAATCATGGCCTCCAAACGGTCACGGCGGAGATAAAAACACACGGTGCGCTGCCGCTTCAGAAAGGCGCAAACAAACCCCGTTCGCGGCGACGGAAATGCGATGTTGCAGTGCATCGCGCCAGCGATATCAACATTGCACAACAGAGCGAAATGAACGAGATGATTCTGGCTCATGAATCATGAGCCAGATCTGGAGATCTCCCAGTTCGGCCCTGTGGAAGGGAAATCAACTCGTCTGCCAGCCGTGGGTCTCACGGTCGAAAACGGACGTACGACGGTCTCTGTCCCGACGTACACCGTGCCGTGCGGTTCTTGTCGCGTCGGTTGGCACGGTGTGTCGGCGTTCGGAGGGACGGTTCTGCGCGACTGCGTGTTCATTCAGTGACCTGACCGAATAAAACATGTGATCAAGCTAGATGTCAACTGGAATTTAAAAAACTATATATACCTAGAGGAACCGTTGGCAGAAATTTTTGCCGAGACACCATTGTGCCCTGATTTCAGCCAAATTCATCGAAAAGCGCCGAATCCAAAAAATAACGCCGAGCAATATGAAAACTGCCGACTTCAATGGTTTTCAGTTGCTAGATTCTCAAACCAACACTTGCCAGATCTTGCCAGTCTTACCAAGCCCTTCCCCGCCCCTTTCCCAAACCAAACTACAGGGTGACCATCCACAGTTTGGGCTTATATATGAGGACCAAAGGGATTGGCATCCACAGTTTGGATACCTTGGAATCCTTGCACGGCACAGATGAGAGTTAATCCACAGTTTGGGAGTGCTTACAAAGAACACACTTAAAAGATCCAACAATGTTTGCCTAAGTTCATGCCTTGTCTTCCAGACCTTCTTGATATTTCCCCTACGGTTTTCTTGAAAGGCCAATCCAGGCAAGCAAAGTTCTGTCTTTGCTTCTCCGGATCACTCTCCAAACAATGCTTTGCCGCTTTGCCCTTTCATGATCCAACCTCCCTTGACAAGGGTGGTTGTAGAACAGCTGCAACTCACAATTGGGCCAACAAAAAGATCTTTCCAGTGCAGCCATTCAAGATGTTGATTCTTATATATAGGAAGCCCCAACTAAGCAAAAACATGGTTACGGACAATTGCGCCGAATTGTCGGGCAATTACGCCGAATTATCGGAGATTTACGCCGAATTATCGGGCAATTACGCCGAGATCTAGGGATGACAAAACTTTTGAAAACTATGAACAACTTGACTGCCACGATTCACGCAAGGGTGCCCGGTTGGTTCACGGTGAGTTTACGTTGAATTATGCATGGTCCATGCACAGTCCTCTAACTTTCACCTTGGTGATGGAATCAAATCTCTCCATTCACCGAATATGTTCAACAACAGCTTTGTGCCACTGCAAACATAGGAAATCAGGGAAGAGGGTTGCGTCGGGCCACAGAAACCATTTGGCATTTCTGCCAGGCCTTCTTGAACGGAGAATTTAGGCTCTTAAACTCTGTGACCCCAAGTCACTGTCCCAAAGGTTGTAGTAGAAGCTTAGGCACACTTTTAGCTCAAACTCGAACAAACGGATTGAACAAACGGCTGCAGTGAAACATACATCTATACAAGCTATGTCATGTACATGTAACTGGTGCTACATCTGATCACGCCTCCCGAGTTTAACATCTCCCAGAAGTTAAGCGAGTCAGGATTAGCACTTCGGTGAATTAGCTCGTAGCCCTTCAGTACATCTTGGTCCTGAAGAAGTACCTACTCTAGCTCAAGCCGTTCACGCTTTCAAAGTCAGCTCATGCTCACCTTCCAGGTAGTGGAAGTTCATGCCTTTCATAGCTGTAGTCATTTTCTCTTCGGTGACAGCTTTCGTTAGCACGTCGGCCAACATTCGGTCGGCGCCTTCCTTCTTGAGACGAAACTCTTTCTTTGCTGTGCGCTCTTGTACCCAGTGGTACTGAGTGTCAACATGTTTAGCTCGTCCCAAGCCTCGACGGTTTCCCATGGCGATGCCAGCGGAAGCGTCCATTGTCACCTCTTTGTTGGGAAACAATCCCCAGTCTCTTGCTGTTGATGCGATTCCAAGCATTTGACATGCTCCAGAAACAAGTCCGTAGTACTCGGATTCGCCACTGCTCAGGGAGACAACTCCTTGGCCTTTGCTGTATGTTGTAAGACAGCATTTGTTGGCCATGAGCACGCCTCCTGACACACTCTTTCGTGTCCTTATGCAACCTGCATGGTCGGCGTCTGACCACATGTTGAAGGGGTTGCAGGTGCTTTGGTTTGGAAACAACTGTGCAACTCTTGGTCGATACCTGACATATCGAGCCAATCGTTTCAGCATATTCCAGTGCCTCGATGTTGGGTTCTGTAGACCTTGTGCCAATGAGCGCGTTGCAGTTTGCAGATCAGGTCGATCCTGTGCCAAATACGCGGCTCTCATAGCAATAGATCTATACATCGTTGCATCTTCGGCACTCAGCGGAACTTCTTCATGTTGGAGTTCCTCTTGACTTGGCTTGGCCAAAGGTGTTTTGACCTTGCCTGGTTGACCAGTGCCTAACCACTTGATGATCAACTCTGCATGTCTTGGATCTGGTTCCCACCAAATGCCTTCATTTGACCAGGTGATGATGCGATTCAGCACTCTGATCTGTTGGCTTGCTTTTGGTGAACCTGGTGGACCGAGAATGCCTCGTTCCACAACTTGCCATTCTTTGGCTGCTGAAGTGTGAAACCATTTGATGTCATCAAAACTTCCAACTGTCGTGAAATCGTCTCCATGCACTTCTGTTCGAAGTTCTCTGGATGCATGGTAGTAGATGCATGGGTTGGACTTGCCTTGAACAAATCCTAGCTTCTTCATAAACTCTGCAATGGTCAGCTCCCAATTCATGGGTGCGTCTCTGGTGCCGTAAAGGCTTCTGACCAATCTTCCTACCACATCTCCATCTTCTGGTTTCTTGCCTTCTGATGGAATTTCAACATAGAGTTCTCTTGTTGCTTTGGAGTAGAAATGAGCTCTCTTCACATCCAAAAATCCTAGGAAAGATTGCTTTGCTTTTCTTCTTTCGCCTTTCTCCAATGGAAGGCTGTCGCTGACTGCAATGGTTAGCAGTAGCTTCAAAGCTGCAAGGCTCGGCATAGCTGCGAAAAATTCGTCAAAACCTGAGCCTCTTTTGATCTCTTGCGCTACCAATCGACTTCTGTAGAGAGGATTGGTTTCATCTTGCTTGTTCACATCTACCCATCGAGTTCCAATGATTTTGGTTCCTTTTGGAACTTTGCTTCTTGGGATCTTTTCCCAAACTCCCATTGATTCGACAATGTCGATCTCATCTTTTCTAGCTTTCTCTACCTTCTCAGGTAGAAGCTCTTTTCCACTGATGTCATCATAGTACCACCAGTCTTTTGCCTCTTCTGCCATTTCTTCTGGCAGTGGGATCTTCTCTTCACACACTGGTTTCTCTGGGTCGATGCTAGATAGCACTCTCTCTCTGTCTTCTAGGATTAGGCTTTCTAGAGCCATCTCGATGCTCTGGATGTCTCTTGTTCTCTCGGCTTCATCTTCATGTTCGCTTTCTGCCTTTCTCTTCTTGTCTCTATCTACTCTGGCTTTTGCTGTAGGTGATCCTGCTGGTTCATGTTGTTCTTCGTGTTCTCTCTTTTCTCCATGTGGTTCAGGTTCGCGTGGTCTGCGAATACCTGATGCTGAAGCTGATGCTGTGCCTGGTGTTGGTGGTGCTGCTTCTGGTTCGTACCAAAGTTCTGTCACAATGTCCATCTTGTGTGGTAATGCTCCATTGAGTATCTCTGGTGGAAGGTCTGTTGTCATGACTCCACTCTCAATGATTGCATTGTTTGCATGGTTTCTTGTGACTCGGTGCCAGACGATGGACCAATCAGGTCCTCCTGGCATGGTGGTTTGAAAACAGTAAGCTTCAACGTCAAGTCGTGCGAACACTCGACACGAATCGGGAACTCCCGATGGTCTTTTGCTTTCGTATCCATGAAGGATTTGAGGTCTCTTGCCACTGACGGGTTGTGGCATGCCAGTGGTTGCCTCTCCAACTCGGCTTTCATGTCTTGCTAC